AAAGTCAACCATAAATTGCAATCCACACTGTTCTTTTAAAAAATGGGTAGAACACTCTTCACCCGTAGGTGCATACATACCCATACAAGGAATCACATTTCCAGAAGTTTCAGTAAAAACACTGGCGTGGGAATTTCTGACCCTGCAGCCTGTCTCCTTTTAGAAACAGTTTATATAAAAAAGAAATTGGAGGAATACAAGAAAGAAGGAAAAGAGCTCTCCAGCATCCCCTGCTCCCCAAACCCCCCAGAAATGCTCAGAAAATGGTGTGATGAAAACATGGGGGAAAGAGGGACATAGCAACTTGTTTTAAAACACAATCTCTTTTTGCTATAGGCAAGAGAAACAAAATGACAAAGAACTATTCCATGAATGTATATAGAAAAGGGGAAAAAATTCCTGCTGGGAGGCCAGCCAGTTTTTCTCTTTGTAAATTATTTCTCTTATTCCTGCCTACTCGAATTCACAGTGCAGTTTAATAAACTCAGCAGTAAACCCAACAAAACCCACAAAATCCCAAACCAACACCCCGCTACCCTAGAAATCACCTGTATCAGGCAAGGTACTTCATTTACAAACTGGAATGCTACACTGAGGCTGCTCAGGTTCTCAAGTACATACACACCATGCACTTTGTCAAGACTGTTAGGTCTGAGTGTATTTGCTTTCTTTATCAAATTGCACAATAAACATACAACCGCCACCACACCAAATACTACAAGATACAGCCACACTCCAGTTGCTCATGAAACAAGGAGGTCCTTGGTCTCAATTCCCACGGTCCCTCCCTCAGGCCCAGACTCAGTGTAGAAAATGCCTCAGAAACCATCATTGCAGCAGTTTCCAAACTCCCATGAACCAAAAAAGTTTCCAAAGACCCTCCATGGCAACATACAGCTTAGAAAACCTGGCAGCAGGGCTGCAAAGAGTTTAAGAAGAATTTCTTCTCTCATAGCAGGAATGAAGACTAGAAAGCCAACAGTGGGGCAAATGCTTGCCAAATATTCCCCCCTCCCCATTTAACACATGCCAAAAATTAAAAAAAAAGGTTCCCTTGCACAGTCACAATAAAGCAACCACATCTGACTAAGAGTAAACAAAGAGGACTAACTCCTAACACAATCTGTTTGTCCAGACCAGGTCACTGCACCAGATTAATATAACACATGATTCTAGAACTAGAGCTCAAATCAGCTGGAGTTAACAACAAACTATCATGTGGAGGTAAGGCTTTTACTGGGAAAGCATTTTCAGGAAAAAAAATTGTAACTATCATCGCTCATAAATGCCACTAATGAACTCTTCCTCATTTCTTCTTGCAACTTCAGTCACCTATTTGTGTAACATATTATTGAGCAGCTGCAATTCTGAATCATTAATATGTCATCAAATAAGCATGAAATACCTCAGGAACTGTTTCATAATTTTTTAAAAATGCAAGATTTAGCTTCTTTACAGTTAAGAACCTGTTCTAGACCTGCTATTGTCTATTACAAATCCAGGTACTACTCCATCTGTAAAGTATTTGTGATGTAGCATGCGAATGCTCTGAGTATGAATCTCTATCCACATCCTTTACAGTGTGCTGTACACTTACATGACTTTATTATAAAAAGAAACAAGGTTGGGAAATTGAATGGTTAATCTGCTATGGCACAGTAAGTTCAAGACACTGCTATTGTATGAAATAACATAAGCTCTCATTTAGCAAGCATTAACCTTTAGAAAACATTTTACTTACAAGGTAATATAACTTCACTTACCTGAACAGTCGCTTATTTCACAATAATAAAGTGATCTGTGCAAAAATACTCACTTATGTACATTTTCATAACAAATGTGAGCTTCACATGTTTTGAGGAAGTACTGAAGTGTAACTGTAGTGGCTCCAGAATGCAAAATAAAATAATCTTCAAGAGATTTTTTTTCTGGGCACATGTATATCAAACTATGTCCTTCTCCTAAAAATAAGGAAAAAAAAAAATCTCCTCACCTGCGTGGCCTAGTTCTGGGAGACATCATCTCATTTCCAAGGATATGGTATCGCCTGGCTTCGTGCAACAGCTGATAGCACTCTGGGGAATTCTGAATCAGCTGGTCCACCTCCACAGTCTGAACAAAGTAGTTTGGATGCAACAACGGGAGCCTGACGTGCGTCAGAAGTTCATGTAACACTGGTCTTCGCAACTCAACTGCCCGGTACACCCAGCGCATGACAGCTTCAAACACCATCTCTTCCTTACTGATCACGAGTTCATCACTGCAAATGTAATCAATAAGCTCATCCTTCCCCAGTTCGAGGAATTCTTCATGCTGGGACACGTCCTCAAATGTCTGCAGTGCAAAATTCCTGCACTTGGTGAACAGGGTCTTGAGTGAGTGCGTATCTGCAAAGCGCTGGATTCCCAGGCAATTGCAAGGATCCAGCTGTTCTTCCAGGAACTTGGCACAGGCGTCACGCAAAACACTGATCTGAAAGAGACTCGAGGTTTCAAAGAGATACTGCACGTTCTCCGTAGTGATTTTCACCTTGCCAGTGTATACATACTGTAAAAAGCAATCCATAGCTTCAGCAAAAATGCCATTGATCTCCACTAGCATCTCTCTGCTTTCTCGATGATCATTGCAAAACATAGCTCTGAAGTAGCTGCTGCAGGCCGAGAGAACCGCTCGATGGCAGGGAAACTCCCTCCCTTCCACACAGATAATAACATCTGTGAACAACCGGCTGTCTCGAAACTCATTGAAGATCTGGAGAATGCTTTCCGCATGGGATGATCCCGAGGAAAAGTCAAAAAACTCAGGGCCTGACAACGATTTTGGGTCCATTTCAAAAACTTTCCGCTTGGTTGCTGGGGAATCTCGTATCCCACTATCCTCTCTATTAAGTCTGCGTCCCAATATTAGTACCATTGTTACATCAGTTGGCTATAGAGTCATTGAGAAAAATTTGCAGTTTCTCCTTCGCAGTGTTACGGTCTGAAAAATTAAAACACTTCAGTATTCAGTCTGGTATATTCTTAATTTCATCATGAGAATTAGACAAGATACTTATTTGGTCACTCTAAGAACTGGTACAATTTTCAACCTTTACTAGAGGGGACATGGTATTACAGAGCAAGTTACCACGCACCTTGCACAGGGCAACGCGGCACTACTGCCACACATTACATACAAGATATACCCACAGAACAGGTGTCATGGATAGCAAGTTCTGAGTGTCCCAGCACCACTGGCATTGGATTAGTGTTCATGGTTTAAAAAAAAAAGGAGATCTCAGCTCCAGTAAATCACCCGACTGAAAAAAGCCAAAGATTCCCCAGATAAAGAGCCAGAGCTTGGGCATTTCTCATTTTCCAGTGTAATCCTCATTTCAGCTGGAGCCCCCAAGTACTACTATAACAGCACTAGTCAAAAAAGGGAGGAAAAAAAAAAAGACTGAGATTTTTCAAAATAAAAATTCAGTAGAGAAATCATTCCATTTTCATTATCAAGTCTCTCACAATGAAGTCATATAATACTAGTGTTTAATAACATTCAGTTATCTCAGTGAATAATCTTGGCCATAAATTTTTACTGTTCATTTCTAGCATCTAAAAATTAGTTCACTAATAATCTAAGACTCAATTAAAAATTAACCTAAACTGCTAGCACACAAAACAGAATGAAGAAAGAATTCTATTAGTTTGTATAAAACTACTGGAAATAAGAACCAAGGGCAACTCACCGAGGATAGGGAGATTTTTTTGTTTTCCAAAGACCTACTAGTTTGCTCAAAAGCTCTGCAGTTTCAAACACACAGTGTACAACATTACCCCCAGCATGCAAACAGACTCGCATTACCAGAGCACTAAAGTTGCAAAAATCAAGTACTATGCCAATAGTATGTTTTTAGGTGAAGAAACTGCAGCTGATTTTGCAGACAGTGTGTATTAGAGGTAACGTGATCAACCAACCTAGCTGCGATATGGCTTTTTGCCAATACTGAGCTTTCAAATTAACTGGATGAATGTCCACCAAAATATACTGAGGCAGCAAGAGGCTGGGCAAAACGCCCTCTTGGGTCTGACACAGGTATCATTCCAAACACATGTAATACTTCTTTCTATGTCTAGAAGGACATGTACCGAGCTATTTTTAAGTTTATGGAGATTGTTTTCATGCTTTCAAGAGGTTATATTCAGTTTCCCTCATTCCCCGCTTATACAGTCAGTAGACGTCAGCTCCTCACAGCAATTTCATATGTAGACCTGCCAGCATCTTTAGAGCTGCAATTACACAATCCTAGTCTGGCTATATCATCCCTTAATATAGAACTCAATGAAGACACTTTTTCTAAACAGGCTTTTTAACACAGCACCTTTTAAAAGGCACCATCCTAAAAAGCAGGAAAAGAATGTGTGCCATACATAAACTCATTGAGCAAAGAGGTTTTAAAATTGTCAGTTTCCATATAAAATTTTAAACATATTTACAAGGTAGATTCTTGGTATGGCTTATTTACTCTACAAAATATTTAATTTTAATTAAAAGAGGACCAGTTGTCAACGTTGATGCCTGAACAACACCGTTGCAATGAGTCTATCTAATAACTGATTGATTGCTTCATAGATTTTAAGGAGGCATAAACAGACAGTCTAATCTGTAGCTGGTATTCCATCCAACGTATTTCACAACTGTTCCACCCTGTAATGATGCAGGCCGGATAAAAGCAAAACCAACAACAACAACCACTACCACCACCTCACCAGCTCTGTTGCTAACACCCTAACCAATACACTGAACTTTATCTGCAATTAATTCCATACTACTTAGCATGAGAAAGTGGGCAGAAGTGAAGCATCAGCAGTAGAAAAGGGAAATGTAACAATGAAGTTATAAATATAAACCCTAAAGGCCTGATTCCAGTATCACAGATTTAAATCAGACGAATTTCACTAAAGCCAATGGAGCTCTTCCAAAGTAAAGTAAGCCTGAAATCAGAAACAGGACACCGGCATATTGCATGAAAGGGCAAAACACAGCAACTAAGTACAAAAAGCTTCAAAATTAAATCTTTCTCATTATGTGTGAAGTTAAGACGACACTCTTATGCAATCACCAATAAACGGAAATGAGGACTCTGGGTTAAGACTGCTCACTGAAGGAAGCAATGTCTTCTTTATGTTTGGAACAACAGAAAATTAATGGTCAACAAATGATTTTCTTTTTTTAATGTCCCAGTGGTTTAAAGAAATGGGAGACAAAAAAAAAATATCCATGGAGCAAAAACTAATCAAGGGGATAAATATTGTAAATTCACACATAAGAGAATAGAATGGAAGAATAATTACATTCTACTGCAGATATCACTGGTTTTGAATACATTATGCTTCAGTTTTATCCAGTTAATCATTTCTGTAGGTTTAAGCAAACTAATTTTATAAGACTATCAGTAACACTATCACATGTTCAGCTCTATCAAACATACAAATGGCCTTCTTGCAAATCTCGCTCTGGCAGTTTTAAAATGCCACCACTTCCAGCTGCCTGCCCCACGTTTCAACCCCAAAGTTGCAAAGACAGAGGGGAGTCTGTGCCTGAAGCTGAGCTGTTGAGTGCACAAAGGAGGGAAACACAAGAGGATACACCTGTCTGCACCTTCCGCCTACGTAAAAGTATTTACACATGCCTGCAGACTCTGCATTACAAAGCACCAATTAGTTACAGAATTTAACATTGAGATCTCTTCAGTAAGTTTAAATGAATCAAAAGAAAAACAAAATATTTTTTTTTCCCAAAGGCAGCATTGGAAATTATTATATAAAAAACCCCCGAAACACACTGGATTGCTTGTCTAAGCAAGGGTCAACAAGGATGGACTTTAAGCAAATCAGAGTCTACCCATTCAAAAAACTGGAAAGGAAAAACAAATCAGAGTTTCTTTCAACATGTTTTAAAAATGCTTCACAAATACAGACACAACTCCAAAACGGATGTTACCTGTACATCTCTAATTTAAGGTGGGTTCACCAGAAGATCAGGTTCCTCTATTTCCTTAATCTAAAGCATCTGTAGGCTTGTTTATACAAGACATTCCTCAGAAATAATCTAAGAGACCAAATCAGAGGCCAGTAAATGAGGTCTGCAAAATGTTTGCCCTGACACCTTCTATCAGTAAATCCTCCGGTGCAAATTACTTTTTATGTTGCACTAGACTACTCTTTCCTTCACTGCAACAACCTGGTGTGTTTTAGCCCTCTCCCTTCATCTGCAGCTCTGGCAACAGCTAACAGCCTTCCAGCAGAGCTGTTTTTCTCTCCTTCTGTGTCACAGAACTCCTTCAGTCCGTTAGCAGAACTGAGGAAAGCAGCAGAGGAAGCATGCAGGCAGGGTCGGGGTGAGGCCCTTCAGTAACACCTAGTCATCAGGTGTGCCCCAGCTCTACCTTCCAAGCTCACCCTGGGGCTGTAGTTTAAAGAAAGAGTACCTGAAGCTGAGCTGGGCTTCCTTCTGCCGCTGCCGGTGGAGGTGGCTTCCACCCTGCGCCCCTGCCCACCGCTGCTGCCTCACGTCAGCACCAGCACTCCCGTGGCGTGGCTGGACCGGTGACCGTCTGTGAAGGGAGAAACAGAGGCGCTGGGACCACGCTGTCTGCCTTGGGAAAGGTCAGGAGCCCCCAGCAAAGCCCACACACCACCTGTGTGGCTCCAGCTCCCAGACACCTCACGTCTACTATTACCTGCTGTGTATTAGTAACAACACCCCCAAGGTAATGCAACCAAGCTTAATAAAATAAATGGTATTTTCGTTCTGAAGCATGGGAACTGTTAACTCGGGTTTGGCCAATTCTAGTTATTTGTGAGTTCAGATAACATGATCTGCAGATGTGCTTCACCTCAGATGTTTGGTTACCACAGGAGTCAGAGAAAACAAACTCCCCGTTGTACCTACTGCAACACACTGGCTAAACCACAAACCATACTCTAGGTTGTTGCTTTTTTTTTGTTTGTTTTTTTTGTTTGTTTTAAAAGGAAGGAAGAGGAAAAAAACAAAAGCATAACCTTTCCCTCCACCAAAAAAGAAACACAGCTTTTCTTTTTCCTTGCGATACAAAAAAAGACCAAAAAAGTTGTTGGTTTTAAACAATTTTTAAAACAATAAATTCTTCTTGTTTTATGATAGGAATTGAGGTTTTGGATGCCTTTAAGATGAAGTCTGAAGAACTAATAAACATGAACTCAAAGTGAACAAGCTGATTGACATAGTAAGGAGTTAGGTACACCATAGAAAAAGTTTTCTATTCTACTAAGACACTATTTTGATTTAAAAAAAAAAAACTACTCTGGATGCCAAAATTCAATAGCAATCAAGGTGATGACACATTAAAAAAGCCTTAAGTGCCCTCAAAAAATCGCTCTGCAAAAACAGGAACTGATTTGGACATGAGACTCATGATTATTAAGTAAACCAAAACAAAAACAAGCAGCGAAAAGAAGCACCTTTAAACTGTGCAGAAATCTTCAGTTAACCTTTTTGTAAGTGAAAATGTCACCTGAAAGGGTACGCACCCACTGGGGAGGGAAAGAGGGGGGAAAAAAGAGCAGCACTCCATACTATCATTAACCTATAGGGAAGAGACTGAAAAAAACATTCTTCCACCTTGGTTTCACTATCATTTTTACATATATTCAGATTTTGCTTAAAAAAACCCCGAAGGACAGCCCCAGTCATTGCACACATCCCGATTAGGCGTTTCAAGGGCTTCCAGGGGCTTCAGCCAAGTGCCTGTTAAACTTGACACTTAACAAACAAATCGCTGCGACCACACAGCGTAGAGACAGCCGAGCCGATACCACAACCCAGGGAGATTGCTTTTATCGAAAGGAACAGGAATTTTAAGTATGTAACGCTGTGAAAATCGGACTAATACATAAAGACGTACATCTGAATCCGTGGGCGTTACCGAGAATCCTACAGAGCAAGTCAACGCGAAACACGCAAAACAAACCCCAGCCAGGAAAATTTAAGAAATCGAAGGATGTCCTTAATGTCTGCACACACACCCCCGGACTCCCCGGGACAGGCCCCCTCCGTGCCTCTGCCCCAGGGGCGATCGAACACAAGCACCGTTCGAGGCCAAAACATTCCGAAGTTGTTGCCACCCCTTTTTGCTATATAAGGAAACCGAGCGTCATCCAAACTACAACAAAAAAGCCAACACCCAAATAAAACAGAACCAAAACCAAGAGCCCCAGCGCCGTCCCAGCAGACCCCGGGGGGGTTAAGGACAAGGCCGGCGCTGAGGGGACGCCCACGGGCCGCTCGCCCGTTGTTTACCCGCGGGACTGGAGGCGGCTGCGGCAGCACAAGATGGCAGCGCCTGGCAGGACGCGGCTCCCGGCCCGCGGGAATCACCTGCCCCCGGCACCGCCACACGCGGGGCACAACCCCGCGG